GTTGTTTGAGGTTATGCTGCACCTTTAAGGCATCTTCTTTTGTGGAGGCAGTGAAGCACACAAATTGCCTCCTGAGGTCTAGGGAGAGCACCGAAGCTTTGCCTCCTTTTCCCTGAGGTCAGGAGACCACTTTCCCCGCTGTGCTGGCTTGTGAAGAAAAAGGTGTAGCCTATATGACTTTGCTATTGCTGCTGCTTTTTGTGTGTGAGGTGCTGGCCTGTGCGGTGGTGGTCACCAGTACAAAACCCTACGACTGACTTGTAGTTGTGCGGCCTCATCTCTCCTGTTTCATTTTAGGAGAGGCTGATGTGCCTTGCATTAGAAGGCCAACTAGTGCTCAGGTCTTCATTTTCTCCAAGCATCAAGTTTGTCATTGCAAATGGGAGAGGGGCTCCTTGTGTCTGCCGTTCCTCCACAGAAGGGGTAGGCACCATAACTTCCCTAGCTACTTCCAAGGGTTTATACTTGAATTATGCTGGTGTTTCATAGGCTGCTGTGCTTGATTGTTAATTATACTGTACCAGTGCATAGGGCCCCTTACTGTGCTCTAGGAAAGTGAGTGTGCTCCCCTTCTGGGTGTGCTTAAAAGCATCTTTCCCCACTAGTCTTCGAGGGGGTCCTAACTGAAGGGGCTGGTGGCTGACAGCTGATTTAAGTGGGGTCTCCCCAGACTGAGTAGAGCAGCTTTAGTTAAAAGATACCAGCTGGAAAGTTTGGTTCTGTCCCCAGTCTCCCCTAAAATTGAATGAACTAAAGTTTTGCCCATGAGAAGCCTACTGGGATGGTTCTAACTGTGAAGAGCTGCTGGATGGTACCAGAAAAAGATGAAATGTCAGAAAACAAGCACCTTCATGCTCTGTAGACTACTCATTGGTGGAGAAATTTTATTCTGTAGCTCCTCTGGGGTCAAAATAAAAGTGCTGCAGACCTTACCTTAATGAACCTGAGATGCTTCTGCATTTACTTGAAATCTCCATGTTTGCTAGGTGCCTTTTAAGATCTAGGCTCTAGGGTCTTCATTACCAAAAGAAATAGCTAGGAGATGTTGAACTACCTACAATGGACCAAATTCAGACTCTGGAAGGGAGTGCAGCTGCATTTGCAAAATTTCACTGAAATCAATTTGAAGCTGGTTGGAAATTCAGTGGCATGGGACACAGTAAAACATTGGGCACTGACAGACGTACCTTGGCTGTGCTGTAACTCATGGTGCTTTGTACCAAGCTGGCCGGGCTTGCAGGCGGGAGGGGGAGGGCAATGGATGGAGCGGCACCAAGCTGCTGGCTGGGGTTTGATGCCTGGCTACAGCTGGAGGGTTTGGGGGGTGGAATGGAGCAGCCCCCGCAACTGGGGTATCCTAGCTGGGGTATCGGGGGGAGCCAGGCTGGGCTTGTGGGATGAGGGACGGGACCTCCATTCCACCCCCACCTCCAGCTCAGGCTGGGCAAGTGGACAGCTCTTGCTGCTCCTTTCCCCGTCTCTACTTTGCCCAGCCTGAGCTGGAACAGAGCCCCCTCACCTTGCAGGCCCAACCTGGCTCCCCCCAATACCCCAGCCAGGGGTTGCAAGGCGGTGGTGGGGCTCTAGTCCACCCCCCCACCCCCACCACCTCCAGCTCCAGCCAGGCAGCAAACCCCAGCCAGCAGCTCTGCGCTGCTCCACCTCCCTGCCTGCAACACAGGAAAGCGCAGCCCGCAACGTGTAAAAAATTAGCTCTTGAGGGAACATAAGTTCCCTAAGATGCTGTAAAGCAGAGCGCCTTCATCTAATACCTCATTTGAGGGAGGGTTGATTTTTTGTGCCATCAGCTATTTAAAAAGCACTCTGCAGCCATGCACATTTGTCATGGCCCAGCTGTAGAGCACTTTCAGAGGCCCAATTGCATGAAAAATGTAACTTGTGTAAGTGCCCATTAATTGTATCACACAGGAGACATCTACTCATTGCATCACCCTTTCTACATGTATCAGGAAGCACAATCCACTACCTGCATATCAGTCAGACAGCAAGAAGGGTTACCTGAGGACAGCATAGAGATTTCAGTATGTGTCTCTCTGAAAATAGGACCTCAAACGTGGCCAGTCAAAAGGGATACACCATGAATTAAATCCTGTAGCTCCATGTTGAGCTGTGTGTGTTTTGAAGGATGTTGGAAGGGAAAGAAAGGAGACCCAAAGCAGAGAAAGCACAGTGACATTGCTTAGAGGTGTATTGTGGAGATTATAAGCTATTTATGGAATGACCACTGTCCTTTAGGGCACAAGAGGGTGCTATATCCTTAAAAAGCTGATTGTACCCGCTATTTTAATAGCATTTTGTCTATATGATAGAAATAAAGTACCCAGCCAGTGATTGTGCCTTTGTGTCTCATTAGACAGATGATTCTGCTTCATTTCTTCCCTGTTCTACCAGGAGTGTCTGAAACGTTTTGGAAGTTTTAAAATATTTACAATGACTGAATTTCAAAAGGAGGAGAAAGACTCTATACTGAGAGGGAGAGAAGAGATGCACAAATCAGCCAAAGCCACAGGAAGAGCTGAGCAGTGTAGCAGAACAGACAGACACAGAAATGTCAGACAGAAAAGCAGGTCAAGAGGAAACTGGCTCAAATGGAGAATAATACAGGAAAGGCTGTAGACTACAGCAGGGAGGCAGGTGGTGGTGGGACATGCTACAATTGGTTTTGGGCAGCTGAGGGGCAGTGTTGTTGTGTGCAATCATGTCTTTCTTCTGCACATAGCTTTGTTTGGCTGTCAGCTCTTTGGGGCCTGTATTCGACATCATTGCACCACACCTGGCACCGTCCTGACTGCAGCCGCTTGGCTCCTACCTTCCTGTCTATGACATTTCAGACATAAAATGTGCCTTGAGGCACTTTGCAGAAACTCCACAGCATGTGTCAGGAGTGCAAACTATCACACTAGGGGCATTTGTACCTGCTCACAGCACTCTCCTTGCAAGGTAAAGGATACTCGTGATGTACTCTACAGGAGAGGAGTCCTTTCAGGGTAAGGGGCTGTGGTTAGAGTCCAGGGGTTGGGGGCAGATTTGAGTTCTCTTGTTGCCTCTATTAGTAACATGGCCAGGGACCTCTGGCAAGGCAGGATTTAAATCCCTTCTCCGTCTGTTTCCTATACATAACAATACGCAGCTATCTCTGAATATAAAGCATTATGACCCCAATTCTGGGTCTTTGGAACAAGGGACCGGAAGGGAACTCCTGTGTTATCAAGTCTGTTCTCCCAGACCTCCAGGAAATGGTGCAGAATCGTAGTCATAAGTTAAAGGCACTATTAATAGAGGGCATTCTCAGGGTATTCTTGAATTCCCACTTGCCCTGCCTTTTTTACCTGAAGCAGATAGGAAAGCAGCTTCTGATTCAACTTTTGGCTAAATAGTGAGAGGTGCTAAGTATCTGCAGCTCCTAACAGGAACATGCCCCAGTAGTGAGTGTCTGCAGGACTGGGCTGTTAAAGGTTAACAGCCTTTAATTCTGCATGAGGAATATCAGTGGTAGCTCCTTTGTGTGGCTGATGGATGGATTCCAGACCAGAAGGGGCTCTTTATGTAACACGGCTTCTGCAGCCAGCTTTCCCTTTGCTTATTCATTTGATGATGAGTAAGGACAGGGGAGCTGTCTTAAACCTCTCCTATCCTCAGAAAGCTGAACCCAATATAGCCCTGGTGGAGGCCAGAACAGCTCTGAGGGATGCTATAATTGTGACACTACTGCCTGCTTTAGGCTATTATGCTCCCAGGGGATAGTGACTGGTGTTAGAAAGCCCTGGCTATGCTATTCTCTGTCTCTCCTTCCTGCCCCCAGCATGCTGCTAGAGCCAGGGGCAATGCGTGGGTTGGCACAGATCTGCCTACACTGGCTCTCTACTTATCCCCCTTGCCTGGGAGGAGGGCACAGGTTTGCAGCTGCATTGTCACTCCGTTCACACAGGCTCCCCTAGCTTAGAGCATCTGCACGGCAAAAATTAATTCCCCCTCGGCTCCCTCCCTCCTCTAGGCTCTCATCTCCCTCCTCCTCTGTGCCCTACTATCGCAGCAGCGAGTGAAGTGAAACACGCTTCTCCTGGAAGTTTGTGCAAAGGTATAATCCATCTGTTATCCCATGCACCAAAAGCCAAAGCAAAACTACCATGCAACATTGTTGAGCCCAGCTGGTCAGGATTTCCCCGTCTTTCTTAACGGTGATGTGATAATGCAGGACTCTCAGTATAAAATAGCACACCACAAGAGGCCATCCATTAGGGAGAAGGCTTTCTTTTCGTAAAATGAAGGGTATGGAACAAGGCGCACAGGCTGAGATGCTAGATTTAGCTCTGAACACATGCCAAGTAAGGACCGATTTAGAGAGAAGGACACATTTGCACCCTGTCTTGGATAACCATGACTGTGATCATATATATGGATTTAGGTCATTTGTTGCTAGCTTCCTTTGGAGTTTGAGGAAAGTGTCTCAGAGGCATTTAGGCATCCAGTTCCTGTTGCTCTCACTGGAGTTGTGCTATTTATGCCTTTAGCCCTGCAGGGCTGTCCAGGCCACAAATCTGTGTGCTGCAAGGATGTGCCCAATGGGGCATGATGAAATGAATAGCTCGGCTCCCTACAGCAGGAGCAGGCTAGCTCCCTCCCCCTGC